ATTCGTTTCCTTTTTTTACACACGACATCACACAAGAACAATTAAAGTAAAGAAACGCGTGTCGATCAAATATGTCGTTTAAAAAATTTAAATTATTTTTTCGACGTAATAGAAGCCCCTGGGCTTCGATTGCTCCAGAGGGGGCTTCTAATATGAGGGAGGCTTCTATTATGGGGGGGGTTTACCAAATTTATTTCTCAAGGTAAAATTCTTACGCGGTCATTTGGCTGTAGGAAGTTTAAGTGTAGTTGCCATGGAAATTTACAAATATTCTTATCAATGTCAATTTCATACTGTTTGCCTGATCTTTCATTACATAATTGAATTTTGCTTTGATCACAATTGATAATGAGTTCAACGATATCGTTTTCTTTGATGTCGCCATCGTACCCGGTCGTCCCGCCATCAACGCTGGCGCCGTTCAAAATCATCTGTTTGCCATTTCCAGCCCATCCGTAAGATGATTTTAAGCCAAATGGCATGCCTCCCATTGACTGATACGATGAAACAATGCCAAAGAATATCCAATAATTATTAAGCATTTTCTCTATTTTTATCTTAATTCGATGAACACCGGGCGTATACAGGTTTAATTCACGTATTTCAGAGTAATTCTGTTGTGCCGAATTAACAGCAACCGACCCATTTTCCTGTACTGTAGCATTACCCTTCACTGGATCAAATTTTTCCTTTGGTTGAGAAGGTATTTGAATCTGTTTTGCAATACTTTTGATTTGTTCTACCAGTGATGAGCTATTATCGACTATAATGTGGAAATGAAAACATCAGTTCTTGGTATTATATAAGAGTACAGTATAAGCATATGAAGCTAGACTTGAAGTACGGACCCATTCTCATGATTCCAGGTAAAACTTCAAACTACTATGAAAAATTAGTTAGGTAAATTTGTTCATTGTACCATCAGTCTCTTAAATAAGTCTTAAACTGAGAGAAATAACAAGAAAATGATCAAACGGTCTTCTTTTACCACACACGTATTTTTAGAGTCCTTGCCGTGTTTGTAGACTAGCACCGGCAGTAGCCAAGTGATGAGTTTAAGACAAGATGGCAGAAACAGCTTCCAGAAGTAAACATGCTAACAAACTTCTTCAGGCTGAATAATACGTCAATCATTTTAGCTGGTATCCGCACGCGAAAGCCGACCGAAAGGATGCCTGAGCTATACAATTCCCGTCACTGATTCAACTCATCGGAACAGAGTTCTTTCGATTAAGAGTCAAGTGGATCGAAGATGAACGTTACTTGTTTCTCAAAAGAACAGTACCGCGAAGGGGCTATTTTATATATGATTCGATAGAAAATTTGATGCTGATGACGAATATCGCCCTTCCAGTGCACTCTTTCATGTCGAAAAATTGAAAATACGGGAACGGTCTTAAAATCTGAAAATCCTGCTCGTTTCGAAAAAAGTTGAATACTTTTTCTCCTTTTTATTTTGAAACTCTCAAACAGTTTTTTCGAATTCAGCGTTGAAAACTGAATTAGAAAATATGTTTTTGATGGTTCCCATATGTAATGTCATTGCACGTACTGCAAATGTATAACTCGGTTTTTTTGAAATTCTTCTCCATTGCTGCGAAATTTCACTTTTGCTAAATCAGCAGCGACAAAATCGGAATTGTGCCAGTGTAATTCTCAATTTTCTCCACCAGAACTCACTTTTTTGCAATAAAAGTCAGCGTCAAAACTGAATCGAATGACGTACCTTTTTATCCTATCCAACCACCTTTGTTTTTTCGAATTTTCCTGGTTTGTCCACTTTGGTTTTTTTCGAAAATTACTGAGATTTTCCCCAAAAAATGAAAATCAGCGGAAACTTTCAAATCATATATAATTCAAACAAGTCGAGTTATACTTTTGTAGCATGAATAAAGGCCGATCGAATGGCCCAAGAACGAACATTCCATCTTTTACCAGAAAAAATTAGATAGCTTTTTGCGACGAGGTCTCCACTTTGCAGATATCCTTGAAGACGAATTTTTCGTGCAATGACAGTACATATGGGAACCATCAAAAACATATTTTCTAATTCAGTTTTCAACGCTGAATTCGAAAAAACTGTTTGAGAGTTTCAAAATAAAAAGGAGAAAAAGTATTCAACTTTTTTCGAAACGAGCAGGATTTTCAGATTTTAAGACCGTTCCCGTATTTTCAATTTTTCGACATGAAAGAGTGCACTGGAAGGGCGATATTCGTCATCAGCATCAAATTCTCTATCGAATCATATATAAAATAGAAATAGTGCCTGATTTTTGAATTACGCGCGCCTTAGAAACGCACTCATTGGTCATATATTATGAAAAACAGAAAAGTTGTATTTTATCTATTTTGCGTTCTACATATAGGTATTTCATTTTATCTTTTATTTTAAATCACCTATCGTCTGTCACATTTGACTAATGATGTCTTTTGAACAAAGACGAAACGTCTCTAACAGAAAATAGTCTGTTTTATGATTATAAAGGTGGTTTATCTCTTATTTTCTGTATTGAAATTCTTCACCTTAAAAAATGACTGAAATATATCTAAAACTATACTCGGATCTAAAATTGCTAAAACTCAGGCATTTTCGTAAGAAAACCATTCAAAAACAGGAAAAAGAAGAAAAATGACGGGAAAAGAGGATGGGTTCTGGACAAAAGAGGATCATGCAAAACCCATCAGAACAACGCAACAGCAAATTCAAAACATACTTTCGTTATTTTGTAATAGATCGCACACTAAGAGCCCAAATTCAGAAGACATAGATTTTCCTGTTGCATCTGAAACGAAGTCGACCGTGAGACTTCCAATCACATGTCTAGATAGATTATGTGTCAAAGCGTATTTGGTAAAAGTTTGATGGTCTCAGGTGCTTTCGTTTTTAACACAGACGATTCGAAAGTTGCAATATTTCTCAAAAATGACCATTTTTGAGGAATGTTTTTTTCCATGGAAACGGTATCATTCTGGAACCCCTGAGTACACTATTGGAGCCGTACACAACAGTATCCAACGACAGGAGATACAAGGAGTGAATACGTTGAACCATATGATCTATCATGGTATCCTCAAAATGTTTACGAACAAGAGAAAACGTGTTGTTCGGGATAAAGATGATTTAAGTAGTCCAGAAATATTAGATATTACAAGATTTACTTTAGTTACTTCAGTTCTAAATTTTTGTTATCTTTGCAGAAAATGACCATGCTGATGGTAGTGCGATAAATCCTCCTCTTGTTCACAAACATTTTGAGGATACTATGGTTCATCAAACTGTTTGGTCATGTCACCTCCTAGCTTGATAAAGTTTTGAAAACATTGATTGAACACTACTTCACTGTTATAGGTCGTAGCTTAGGTGCAATGGCTCATACATAATAATTATGGTTATAGTTAAAATGTTTATAGTTAAAAATAAACCGAAAAACTGAATCAAAAAAGTAGAAAATGCTTTCCGAGTAAAATTAGGAGCGATTTTCCAGAAGTGCCTGTACAATTTCGACGGCGACCAGTTCGAAATTGATAAAAACAAATCTAATTTGCTTGAAAATGAACGGAAAATCGATTTCTCTTGAAAATCATTTTTTCAAGAAAATAGGAAATCATTGACAAATACATATAAGCACTCAATTCGTCTTCGTTTTTCTATGACTTATTTTCTGTTTATTAGTGTATGTTTTTAACTCCACTGAACTTATGGGATTTTTGAATGAAATCTTATGTCGAGGTCAACAACGGTAGAACCCATAGAGAAATGAACTTGTTGGTAGAAATATCCTCATGATGTAATCCCCAGAAAGTTCTAAGGTTAATAGAACTTCCGCAGTCCTTTCAGAAAAAATAAACTTTTCGTCAAAATATTTTTGACATTTATATGTGGAAAGACCGGTAAGGTGTCACTTAACTTCACAAAAATGGGCTATGTGCGCCACCGCAGACTCTTTTAAATCTGTCTGTTGACAAAGCTGAACTGAACGTAAGCACAACTTACTATCTTGGTGTACACTGATCTTTTGAATCCAAGGAGATTGTTGTTTATCCTCTTCGATGCGAAAGTTCGATGGTCTGATAAGTTCATCTTTTAGTTCTTTTAAGTCAGCCATCCACTTGCTGAGATCTCGTTCAACATAATCTTCATCGTCTCGACCTTTGCGAACTCTATTCGATATTTTGCGAAATCTTTCTATAAGCCCGTCCTTGTTTTTATTTAGCAGTTTGACAACGTCAGTCCGACATTGCTCAGCGAGCTGATTAATTTTATCGATAGAGTCTTTTTTCCATTCATCAATCTGTTTTAATAACTGATGTGAATCATTTTTGTTTGGCGTTTCGAGCTCCTGTTTGAGGATATCATGTTGGTAAACAACATTGTCGAGTTCTTCTGACAACTCTTGGCGATGATCATTGAAACACCGTCTGCACAATTTTGCTAAACAGCCATCGCATGTGGCTATACCAGTATTTTTCACACATTTTGTGCATTGAACGTTTGATGCAGTTGTCATTTAAAGCTACAATCAAACAGGTGTTCTTCTGTTAGATAAACAATCCAGTCTGTTTCAGTCTCGTATTAATGTTAACAATGAAAGAATTCTACTTAATGAGTGATAACAGTACGAAAGCCTCAGTTTGTGTTTGTCGTCGATCTAATGTATAACGAAAACTTCTGTCATATCTCATTAGTTTAGACTGAAAAATCTGTTATCTGTACGTTTTTGTATTCGACACTGATATAAAACGGTAACTATTTCGATAAAAATAAAAACTTCTTTCTTCTTCTGTTGTGATGACGATTACCTTTTTAAAACAGAAATAGCAGAACAACCACACTTTATACTCGTTTCATAACAAGTAAAACAAATACGCAATCTTTGCTATCTTTTTAATGGTTTATAGAAAGCATATGAGAAGAGAAAGAAAAAAATAAAAACACGCCGGTCTGTTGGTGCGAGGGGTCGAATAATCGAAAATTTTCGGTTTTTATCAGTGGAGCTTATGCTTATTTTTGTGTTTCTCGGATTTTGGTTTCGGAAAGGTATGCAGGAAGATTTTCCAGACCTTGTAAAGAGCAGGATACCAGTGTAACAGTGTGAGTGATTAATTATGAATATCACCTATTACATCATTGAATAACATTTTTAAGTCATTATCATATTTAACTGTTTAAACGGTTGCTTCGTCTTTAAAACTGTCTAATGAAATGGTATAGGGTATTAAAAGTAAAAGAGCATTGAGGTTTGATAAATGTACGGATCAATTGTCGATCAAGGAAACGTTTTTTTACCATTCATTACAGAACGGTTTGCGATACTGGATGATTAATCCAAAACTTACTACTATCCTTTTAAAAAAAATATCCTATGATATTCTCTGGAATAATGAAGAATCAGAGGATCTAGAGAGTTTCCGATTTCACCATTTTGCAGAGGGAACATTACACTGCTGACTGCTACGTGGGAGAGTGATAAGCTGCACTTTTCAGGTGGTGTCTCTGGCAAATCATTAACGAAGAAGCCACAGGGTCATGAGGTCCACTAGTGATCTCTAGCTTCAGAATATTGTTGAAGATAGTTTGAAACACCCTCTACAAAACTACGCAGATCCCTCTTCTGTATAATTATTATCTTTTTTGATGAGGCGCGTATTTGTTGAGTCCTATCCAATTTCTCCTCCATCAGGTGTGGCGGCCACAAAAACGATTCCGTACATGAGTTATTAATCACGGTAAACCTCCGGGTAATGTTTCATTTTCTCATAAGATTAAAGGAAAAGGCAAAAGTGAAGAGACAGTTACTAAGAGTCTGTTTTCTGTTTACCACGTAACACGAAAATGCTAAAAAGCGCCTATATCTTGGCCGAATCGGTGCAAAAACTGTCAAAGTCTTTTTCGTTTGGTCTTACATAGCTCATTTCGGGCTGTAGATTACTAAAATGTTCAATGAGCTGTGTGTAAATCGTTTAGTTCTTTTAGAAATTTCCTGTCTAGACTCTTCCTTCACCCCTTCTAGGAAAAACTGAGCATTACCACGAGGCCTAACGTGATCAGTACCTATGTTTGGAGCCATTTTTAGGGTTATGCAACTTCACAGAACCGAGATAGGTATGTCGATTCACCGAAGCCCTCCATGATCACTGTTCTCTAGTATTATGATTTTATCTCTTTGTTGTAGTATAGGTTTTTGACCAAATGACTTACAATTCATAATTAATAGTATAGAGACCAGTAGATAAAGAAACTGATTTGTGCGATATTTATCTTCACTCTTTGATGTTACACACCCTCACCCATCCTGTTCATTCAAGTCAGAGCATTATTTGCTAAAGACATCTATTTAATCCGCCTTTCGATGTATACACTAGCGGCAATTCATCCTTTCTACTTTTCCACGTTGTTTCTAGTCGGATTCGTCGAAATTCTTTTCTTCCCCGCGCACTTCATATTTCCTACTGATTGGAGCCGCCACTTTTTTATGCATACTTGCAGGAGAGTCCAGCGGGCTCATTCCGGTCCCCCTCGAATCGGGATCAACGTATAATGGCATATCCACGATTTTCTATAAACTTAAAAGATAATAATATAATTGAATTAATGTGTTACATTAATTGTTGGATATTTTAAGAATAAATACAACAATCAATAGTTCTACTAAAAAGGGCTTTTTAATAGTATATAGCAATGACTCAGAAATTAGAAATCAAGAGATTCAAAATATATACCTGTTCTTGCTTAACAGCTCTAAACCTTTTAAGTTAAAACTAATTTTGATTTGACACAATAATAGTCGGTAAAGTAGAACCTCGCGAAGGTGTACTTTTCATCATGTAGAATGGAATATAATGCTACGAAACAAGTTTTCGATCTATGAGTACCGTAGATGCAAAAGCGTGTCAGATCCTTCGCACCTAATTGTTTGAAAAAATATTTTAGCCTTTTCTTTTTCTTTGCTTTTCAATTTTGAATTTTGCAAGTTCCTTAAACACCATCAATGATCGATGTTAATTGGTAGTTCCTATTCATTATTTCAGCAAAAGGTTCTACCCAGTGAAACTCAATATCGTAAAATAAATTATTTCAGCTGAAGTTATATGTGTTTTTTAGTAAGTACCCCTGGGAGTCATTGCACGAAAAGGCGAGTGCTTCTCACAGAAGCGTGCTCAATGACTATTTCAGACTTTTTTGTCTAACAAGCTTCATCTTGTAGGGCATGGTCGAAAACCTGTAAATTCAAATTTATAGGCTTCTCGAACTTTTCTGTATATATGAAATTTTTTCGACTGGAGTAAAATTCTATCAGATGAGGTGCATACCGCCATTTTATGAAGCAACTCGGTAACAAGGTTTCCGAGAAATCTAAAGGCTAGAGCTAAAACAAAACAAATCCTTCCATTATTCTAGATAGCATAATTCACTGTTGATCAACATGATGGAAACCCAACAACAATACCCTAAAAACACACCATAACGAACTACAAGAAAAGGAGAGTACAGATGTAATTGATTCAAAGTCAGAAAATAACTAAGATCCATGAAAATTGTTCAAAAACAACACTTCTTCATTTCTTCATCGAATAAAAATCCCCTTGGCAATATGCTGCGTCAGACGTTCGCACTTGATATTGATTTCAAAAAAAAACTTTCCTTTTAAGATATGTGATGCTCTTCCGACGAACACATGCTGCTCTGAAAATTCTAAACTCACCTGATGATGGACCCTTAAGCAAGATCCGAAACGCGTCGTAAGACAGCTTAGAATATTCTTGTGAACTCACCCTCACCCTCACACACCCTCTCGTCTACTCTGTTTTACTCCGAGTACTCTATTCCACTCTACTCTGTCCTACTCTTGTCTGCTCTGAGTAGAGTAAAGTACTGTATTCTACAACTGACAATGTCTACTCACATACTCCAGACACAGCATCAGAACAACCACTCACACCACACACAGTCATCTGAACACATTCGCCATCACACACTGCCAACCTCCACTCTCACACCTCAGTTTCTGAGTACACTTGACACACTGAGCGCAACACTTGACTCATGGATGAGTGATGACTAGATGAGCAGATGAGAAAGCGAATCAACACTAACACCACAACAACTATACATACACAACTACACATCCATGACTCTACAGCATGCTTCCAACCTATCTGCCGGCAACAACTCCATCCAGATCCACGTCTCCCGAACACAACATTCAACCCACAAATACATACAGCTACACAACATTCAACCCACCAATACATACACAACATTCAACCCACAAATACACACAGCTACACAACTGCGCACACAAGCAGCCAGGCACATACACAGCTACACAACTCTCTCTACACAAACTATTCAATAAACATATACAGACATCCTCATCAACTGTTCTCTACTCTCTCTACATACTCACAACTACAACTACTCACAATACGCACACTCACAACTGTTCACAATACATACACTCACAACTACTCTCTACATGATAGATACATACATAGATACATAGGTATACAACACATCCACTTCTTCAACTCTGCCATCTCACTCTACACCCACTCACTCCACTGTCTCCATCAACACTACCTCACCACTTCACTGAGCAGGCAACTCACTGGTACGCTATAACTGAGTAAGCTGTATCGACCGAGTATCATACAGTACACTACTACAACACTCTGCCAAACAACAACATACTACGCCTCACAATCATCTCGGCATACTCTTTCTACACTGCTCTCTATACCCTACTTCCTCGACTCTCACCCCACCAACACTTTACTCTCTCACTCACGAATGGATGGATGGATGGCTCTGTGCGTGAATGCATCTATCTATCTGTCTGTCAACACTAACAACACTCTCCCCATCCACACACATACATACTCATCAACATACAGCTCCCAGATCCATCTCACAACAACTCAGCAATACACATACACAACAACATCACTGACAGCCAGCCACAATACAACCATCAGCATATACTCACCTACTCCACTCTAGAACACAGAACATCACAATACATC